TCGGGCCCCGCGGTGAGAACCTGCAAGATCGCCCTCTCAAGCCGAAGTCCCAAAATTGGAGGCGGCGGCATCTGGCGCGCAAAACACGAAGCCGGAGAAGGCGATCATGCAGTAGTGAGCGGCGGTTCTGGCAAACTCCAGCCCGAGCCCGTGGATCGTCTGAATGCGGGAAACATACGTCTTCAGCACAGCCCCCCAAGAGGCATCAACACTTTTCGGGCCCAACTGAATCCCAAGGCACCGCCCATGAAGGAGAAGCTGGAGCCCCGGGACCTGGAGCCCACGCTCTCGAAGGGCATCACGAAACTCAGCCTTGGACAAGCCCAGCAGGACGACGACGGCTTTCTCGACATTGATGAAGAGGCCCATCGCGGGGACAGCGACATGCCAGAGACTGACACGAAGCACGCAGGCCGAAACCACATCTCCTGACCCGATCCCGACGTCGTCTGCAAAGGCGCCAAGGCTATGGACAGGCCGCAGCAGCAACAGGCAGATCTTGCGGAGCACTGGGTCGATGGCCAGCGCGAACAAGAAGCCACTGACAGGACAGCCCTGCTTGATGCCATGGGAGAGCAAGTGCCCTATATCTACATGCACCCCTCGATACGAAATATCGATCCAAACATTGGCGCTCAGACACTCGACTGATTTGACGAAGAATTCCGGCGCCCCCACGGCTCGCAAAACCGCAAACGCGGCCGCGCGTAACAGGCTAGGGAAGGCATCGCGAACATCGCACATGACGGAGCCGCTTCTTGAAACATGTCTATGCGCAAACCAATGGATCGCACGGTTCTCGAGCTCGAGGACGCTCTCGCTGGCGCCCCCCCCCCAACGAACCCCCTCTGCTCCGCGATGCAAGTCCACTGGCAAACGCGCGACGGGGGGCGATTCAATGCGAGCGAGATAATCTCGTTTGAAGTGCAGGACATGGTCAGCGGCCTCGCGGTCGAGGGCTTCCGAACCCAAGGCTGGGCATCGCAGTCTCAATCGCCCATGGTGGGGAAAATGTCCAGGCCGCAGTTGAACTCTGGGCGGCGCTCTCTCTCGCCCAGAATGTGCTCGCACAGCTTGAATAACGCCGATGTACCCACCCACCCCCGCCGATGCCCACCCGCTGCACCGCGCGCCGCCAGGCCCGTGGGGGGCTTTCATACGTCTTACCCACCACCCGTCTGGACCCCCCCCCTGCCTCCAGAGCACACTGCGGGGCGCACCGGGGGCAAACTCAACGAGCGAGTCAAACGCCTGCTGGTCCGCTTCCACCTCGCGGTGGACCCCCCCCCCCAATGCCGGGCAAGCTCTGGCTCTGCTGCGCCAGCACTCGGATCGAGCATCGGAACTCCGAGCTGGCCAGCGATCGCCTGCAGGGAGATGCGCGCGCCACGGGGGTTCCACGCGGTCCTATACGAGCACTCGGTAGTGAGCTGCTGCTGTTTCTCGGGCCTGCTAAGGCTGCGATGGTTCTGGGCCTGCTCGATCTGCCCGTCTACCTGATGCATGTTGAGGGCGGCTAGCAACACGTGACACCGGGTGAAGTTGGAGCACTGGCAGTGCCCAGGATCGAAAAAAACTGCCTCAGCCGAGGGCAGGCAGACAGGGCCCGCTGCAGGGCCGCCGGGGACCTGGACCGCTCGGCCCTCGTGGCCGCCAGAGCCCAAGAGATGCACGCAGCAAAGGAACTAGAAGCACCTTTCTGCGCTGGGATCCTAAGAAGCCTTCTTTGGAAGCTGCCTGAATCGCACCACGAACCCACTCCACCTGCTCAATCGGGCCCTCCGAGACCTCCCCCCCGACTCCAAGAACTCCAGTGAACGCGGAAGGAAGCTGAGCACGCATTGTTACCCAAGACTGCACCCGAGGCAGGCGCCAGCGCGAGGATAACGGGCAAGTGATCGGACAGCGCGGCAAGGTCGGCGGCGCACCCGATCGCGCCCGAGCTCGGCGTTAAGTCTAGCAGCTGAGCGGCGGCGATAGGAGTAGAGCCTGTCCAAGCGTGCAAAAGAAACAACGAACGTACTTACGCTGGCCGCGTTCGGTCGTTTCAGACGCCTCAACCCTGCGCGCAAACTGGGCCTGCTCAATATCGGCGAGCTGCGGGAAAGTATTACTGAAAGTCTTGGCCAGGCTGTGAGGCGGATGCAGAGGCCGACCCAACCACCTCCACCTAGGCCCGGAAAGTTGAAGTCCCCGCCAACGAAGACAAAGCACTGGACACGAGGGAGGAGGACCTGCCGGACATGAAACGGCCGGCGTTTCCGATCTCGCACCCGAAGCCCTGGGCCCCCACAATATTAACCACATGGAGTACCTGGCGATCGTTACGCAGAACAACACTGCGAATAGGATCATGATCAAAAACTTTGTGGTGCGCATGCGGTAAAAGCTTGCGTAACCTGCGATTGACATAGTCAGGCATAGTCAGACATCCACTAGAGTGCAGATTGTCGAGGAAGGTCGAGAAACCTGAGCGTCGAGAAACTTCTCGCTCCAACGCCTTGACGCACGCGTACGTCCCCCTTGCTTCCTGAATACAAACGACGCCATGTCCCTGGATCAACTGAATAAGCTGCCGGGTCTTCGCTTCATGGACGTGCTGAGGGGTGCACTGTGCTCCGAACAACGAGCGAGCATTCCATCTGAAATAATCGTATACTTCTGCGTTGGGTGAAAAGGACGGCACGCTGCTGGCAACGCTGGGGGCCACCCACCGCTGAAAGAGGACGACGAAGAGGATCCCGATCAGGTGCCCGAAGAGGCCGCCAAAGACCCCGCATACGAGGACGAAGTGCAAGAACTGGTGCTGCTCGATCCCGAGGTGCGCGATGAATTCGACGAGGCTCTTGCTCCACGACGCTGGGACTTCTGATCGTGAACTCGAATATGTTGAATGTCGCCACGTAGCACAAGATACGGATCGTGGCTGCCCGTCGCTAGTCCCGCATCAAGCACCGTACTCTCATCACGGACATCGTCTTGGTGTAAGGCGGCATGCATAGTTGCGGTCGTCGAACTCACCTGGGATGGCACGGTCGTCTCCTGAAGCAAAACGCCGTGGATTGTCTGATTGATCGTCTCATCTATGAATCCCAGCCCTTCGAGCGACACATGATTCGGTTTAACCTCCAGCTGCACGGAATCAACTCATGAGACATCGAAGAGAGCTTCAAGCTCATCATGCTGAACCAACCACAGTTTGCCACGAAATCCCTGGCTCCCAAGTTTGTAGCTGTCTTGCCAGCGTCCCGTGGCGCCAGCAACCTCTTGTACTTACTGTCGACCTGGTAGCTGGTTCATCCCACTGGACTCCGAGCGTTCTGGCGCGAGCGAGGAAGTCCTTCGCTTGCTCACTGGTGCCGAAGATGATGCTGCAGGCTTTCTGGAAGTTGTGCGTCTTTGGTGTGGCCGTCACCCCCTGTGGCACGTGTTTCTGAATGAACGCCAACGCATGCCGGTTCATGACGGTTGCCAGCACTGGCCGAGGAAAACCTGCGATCCAGATATTGCAGTTGTTGGACTCAAACGCATTGTGGCCGCCTACAGCGGACCCCGCACTGGAAGCAGCCCGTGAGGAAGAGGCGGAGCGGGCGGAAGCTGTGCGCTCAATGTTGTCCAACTCGGTTTTGGCCTTCGGGTCTGATCAGTGACACGCTGAATCTGCTCGTTCATCTGTCTTTCAAACTCAGCAGCAGCAGCGGCACGGGCAACGCCCAAGCTGGAGTTAGACTTCTTCTCGAGCGTCACGAGCCTCGCGTTGAGAGCAGCGAACTTGACCTCATGTATGGCAATGGACTCTTTAATCCCCTTGATGTCGTCTCTGGTAGCCATACTCGATCGAACATACTCGAGAACCTCGCGAAGCCAAGGCTCCTCTGTCCTCTGCTGCTTCTGCGGAGGCTGATCATCGTCGCATGTGCCGTCGGCAGGCGTGGGCGGCACAGCGGACACATCAGATTACATGCATTAATCCTGCGACATGGCAGGATCGATGGAGACAAAATTGAACGTGCAAAGGTCAACCTGGGCTTGACTCCAGGATCGCTCCCTGCAGAGAGCTGCCACACTCAATCGGGGCCTGTCCCCAACTTTAGCCAAAATGGCAATGGCAGAAGGAACAGGAGGAGAAGGAGGAGGAGGAAAAGGAGGCGGAGGATGAGGACAAGGAGGGGAGAGGGAAAAGAGGCGAAGGATGAGGACGACGACGACGACGACGACGACGACGACAGCGACGACGACGACGACGACGACGACGACGACGACGACGACGGCGACGACGGCGACGCTACGACGACGGCGACAACGACGACGACGACGACCACGCTACGACGACGAGGACGACGAGGACCACCAAGACAATGACAATGACCACGACCATGACCAAGACAACGACGACCACGACCACGACGACCACGACCACGACCACGAACACGACCACGACCACGACCACGACCACGAGCACGACCACGACGACGACGACGAGGGAAGCTCTGGAGGTCTCCACAGGAGTCTCCAAGGGATCTCGATGCGGTCTGTGGAGGTTCCCAGAGGCCCAAAAATAGATCTAGAAATCGTTCAAGAGCCTCCAAGCCTCGAACCTGGAACTTCGAATCTCGACCCTCCATGGGAAGGATGGAGGCCTCCAAGTGGGGCCAGAACAGATGGGCTCAGAGGATCGCACCGCATCGCTGGTGCATCGGCGATGCACCGGCGACTGCGAGATGGAGAAGAAAGAGCTCCAAATCGCGCCGCATCGCCGATGCGGCGCTCTCCTCTGACCCCAGCTGCTCCGGTCCCATTTGGAAAGCCTGGAGAGGCGCGAGGCGAAACGGGCACCCAGAGCCGCCTATGGTAGACTCCGACGACCCGCTGGGCCTTCTTCCCGCTCTGCTGACCAGTAAAACAACGGAGACGTCACAGGGTTCCAATCCACGAATCTCGATCCACGAAGCTCGACTCTCCAGGGGGAGGCGCAAGGCGAAGCCAGCGCCCAGAGCCGCCTGTGGTAGTCTCCGACGACCCACTGGGCCTCCTTCCCGCGCTGCCCAGGTAGCGTCCTGTCAAGCGCCTGGTACATGGCGCCGTCCGCCTCCCCGAGCCTTGGCAGCCCGCAATTTCTCCTCCCTCCTCCTCCTCCTCCTCCTCCTCCTCCTCCTCCTCCTCCTCCTCCTCCTCCTCCTCCTCCTCCTCCTCCTCCTCCTCCTCCTCTTCTTACTATTATTACTATTAGTATTATTATTAGTATTATTATTATCATTATTATTATGAATATTATTATTATAGTATTATTAGTATTATTAATAATATTATTATTATGATTAGTATTACTATTACTATTAGTAGTAGTAGTAGTAGTAGTATTGTTGTTGTTGCTGTTATTATTAGTGTTATTATTATTGTTGTTATTATTATTATCAGTAGTAGTAGTAGTATTAATATTGTTATTATTAGTATTATGAGTATTATTAGTATCAACATTAGCAATATTAGTATTAGTGTTGTGAGTGATATTATTATTATCATTGGTATTAGTAGTAGTACTATTAGTATTACTACGACTGTCATTATTAGTTGCATGAATGATAGCATTATCATTGTTAGTACTATTATTGTTATTATGAGTGTCAGTGTTATTTTTAGTAGTAGTACTAGTATTATTATTATTAGTACTAGTATGATTAATATGATTAGTATTATTACTGATATTTATATTAGTGTAATTAGTATTAGTATTAGTAGTAGTAGTAGTAGTAGTAGTAGTAGTAGTAGTAGTAGTAGTAATAGTAGTAGTAGTAGTATGATTATTATTAGTAGTCTTATGCTTAGTATTGGTATTATCTTGATTAGTATTAGTAGTAGTAATAGTATTCTTAGTCTGCTCAATATTCGTCTTAGTATTTGTAGTATGCTTAGTGTTATTCGTAAAAGCAGCATTTGTAGTATTATTATTCGTATGATTAGTATTAGTATTGTTATTGTTATTATTAGTATTATTATTCGTATTCTGATTCTTCGCATTATCATTAATATTCCTCTTATTAGTATTCGCATTAGTCTTCTCAATATTAGTATTAACAATACTAGTAGTAGTAGTAGTATTATGAGTAGTAGTAGTATTCTTCTTATTCGATATATTATTCGTCTTGCTGATCTTATTCTTCTAATTCATATCATCATGCCTCTTCTTCGCAATCATATTATTATTATTAGTCATCGTAGTATTCGTGTTCGTCGTATGATTATTATTATTAATAATAATATGATTATTATTAGTGTTAGTAGTATGTTCCTCTTCTTCTTATTCCTCCTCCTCCTCCTCCTGCTTCTCCTCCTCCTCCTCCTCCTCGTCCTCCTCCTCCTCCTCCACCATGCCCTCATGCCTCGCTCACTCCTCCTCCTCCTCTTACCTCCTCCTCGCCTCCTCCTCCTCCTCCTGTCTCCTCCTCCTCCTCCGCCTGTCTCCGCTCTTGTCTTGTCTCCTCCCCTGTCTCCTCTCCCTCCTCCATCCTCCTCCCTCCTCTTCTGCTCCTCCTCCTCCTCCTCGCTCCTCCCTCCCTCCTCCTCCCCCTAAATCCTCGCTCTCCTCCTCCTCCTCCTCCTCCTCCTCCTTCCTCTTCCCTCCTGCTTCTTCCTCATCCTCCTCCTCCTCGCATCTTCCAACCTTCCTCCTCCTCCTCCTCCCTCACTCCTCCCCTTTTCGCTCCTCCTCCTCCTCCTCTTCCTCCTCCTCCTCCTCCTCCTCCTCCTGTTCTCCTCCTCCTGTCTCCTCCTTCCTCCTCCTCCTCCTCCTTCCTCCTCCTCCTCCTTCCTGCTTCCTCCTCCTCCCCCTCCCCTCCTCCTCCTCCTCCTCCTCCTCTCCTGCTCCTCCTCCTCCGCCTCTCCTCCTCCGCCTCCTCCTCCTCCTCCTCACTCCTCTCTCCTCCTCCTCCTCCTCCTCCCCTCCTCCTCCTCCTTCCTCTTCCTCCTTCGCCTCCCTCCCCCTCCCCATCACCCCTCCCCCTCCCCTCGCCCCCTCCCCCTCCTCCTCTCCTTCCTCCCTCCTCCTCCTCCTCCTCCTCCTCCTCCTCCTCCTCCTCCAGCGGGGCCCCAGGGGTCCCGAGTCCGGTGGGACCCCCGGGGCACTCAGCGCGCGTTCCCTACGGACAGGCGCCCGCGCCGGCCGCAGGGGGCCCAGGGAGGGCCCCCTGACCACCGCCGGCCCCCTCAGCCGGTCGGTGGCGGGGGCGGCGGCGGGGCCAGCGGCGGCGGCCGCC